AAAAAATAAGCCAAATGCATTTTCAGTGTAATGATAGAAGACCACAAGGAGAAAGTTTAAATATCAAATTCAGTATGTAGCCAAGGTACAGTAAAAAGTCACTCGATAACTACGTATACTAAGTCAATAGGCATGCCAACAGTCATTGGAAGCGTAAAGTCATTACCAGGCAATTATCTTTCGTCAGTCTTCAGATTTCGTGAAAATATTGGAACGTCTTCTTAAAAGGCTCAATTAATAAACTAGTTAAACTTTACACGTGTATCTACCTAGTTTCGCCAAAGGGGTACACTGGAGTATATGTTTTGTACGATTCATGAGGAGCCAGTGACTACTCTTCGGTAATTTCATTTTATGCACCCGGGTCGAAAGATCGGGAATATTGTCGTCATCCTTTTGTCTGTTGTCAGCTTTAACCTTGCCCATAACTATTGCATCGTTAGAGGTGTGGTTTTCATGTTTGACATGAGTGTTCCTTGTGAAAAGACCTTTTCTGGTGGTACAAAAATACTTGACTATGAGATCTAGGCGTGACCTTTGACCTGTATTTGAAAGTAAAGAAAAACCATTACTACAATGAAGTGTTTCAAATGCAATTAGCACATGCTTACACAGTGCCTTTAATGTCCCACTTCAGAATTTTGTTGCAACTGGGGACATAGAGTTTCATAAACACATCTTGTTTGTTGTCATGTAAACAATTGTTACATAAATCGAGATGAGGGTTGTAGGGGGTGGGCTTTAAACAAGCTGACTACATGCTACTTCTGTTACATGAATGTATGTTCATTTCCACAATCCTGATTTTGTAGTTCAAAGCTGACACAACCGACATTATCGATATTGTACGCCTTGTGACATTTTCAGCCACTATACATTTATTGACATATCGTAATGTGTTTATTGCAATGAAACAATCAACACTGGATATTTTACAATCCTCCTTGTAAATAATCACTTGTACATAAATATGACCTTAAGCTATGAAGTGAGAAGTCATCGACGATGACCGACATGTCTGCGATGTTTCGAAAGCTCCCCTGTGCTTCGTAATGATTCAGAAATATTTTGGATTCCGACCATCAGTTATCATTTATTTCTTGATATCAATCTCATCGATCACTGTAAGAAATCTCTCAAATCAAAGCCGTGCGGGAAAAATACAGGCCTGCTCTAGATCTGTGTCAATGCATGCAATGAGAGATACCATCCCTTCCCCACCAAGTAGAAGAGCCCGAGAGTACGGTATGCTGTTTTCCATTGCTCGTCGGTGTTTCTTGCTCTGCTTTATTTTTTGTGTACCTCTTAATACCCGTCCCCACATCACTCTGATTGACGTGAGGACAAAAACAAGATCTCCGAGCTCCTCACACGAGGAAAAACTTCTGCATCGATAATACCTCGTCAAATTCAAACAACCACTTACTCGAACAACACCTGGAAGAAATCCTTATTCAGTTTGTTTAGAATCGGGTCATTTCCCGACAATCGCCATAATGTATGGTCTCCAGTCATACACACAAACTGGTGTTGTCAATCAACAAAAACAACAACAAAAATTCAAAATAAACTTCGACGAAACGAGGTAACACGGGGACTCTTCCAAATGCAGCATAAGACCAGGTGTTCCTGATAAAAGCGTCTTTTGCTTCATCGACGACATCCGCCATGTAAATCTTGGTCAATCCAAATAATGATATTTTCTCCCATAGAAATCACAGTAAATGCACGACTGTACAAAAGACACACAAGTAAATAGCATCTTTTAATATAAAGAAGATAGAACAATGAATAAAACTGCATCATACAGCCGTTTCGTCCTGCTAGGAATTATGATATAAATCACTTTTTCTGTTAGTGCTTGCGACGTTTGTAACAAATTCACTTTTCCACTCCAGATGTATGCCTGTCAATTTGATTTCCTAATCCTGTTCTATACCATCGTTCTTGTTTCATTCAATTTTTACGTCCTCTGATATACTAAGTAAGAGGTAGTGTCATTCTAAATCATGTTTGTGCTTGGTAGCTGTAGCGGCCCTGCTAAAATTCTTTAAATATACATATATACAAATCAAGAAAATACACAATATCGATACAGTATCGATCTATCTTTATTACAAAATAAAACATTTTATAAATCCTATCACACGCTTTGCTTTGTTTTCAATTACATAAAAATCAGAATTAATCATAGAAAATTAAAAACAAGACTTGCATGAATCTTTAATATTACAATTTTCATTACTCAATGTCGGAACATCACTCTGGTTATTATAATAAAATAGTTGCAATCAAGCACCAATCTCCTCATTAATTAACACGGACTTATTTAATCAGATATTTCTGACTATATCAGACTTTTCTACTCCATGGAATTAGTAATTATGTATCTGTAAGATTGTGGAATCTTCATCCATCTTCAAAATACAATTTTACAATTTTAATGATCAAATTACATAAATAAATCAACATTTTCTGATTGTAACTGAAAAACAGTTATATCCTAGTGAATAAATTAAGGGCAGACTTTCGATAAGGGAGGTAACTCGCATATTTTTGGTTCATATAAACAATTCGGGAATGGATGCTTGTGTACAGTGTATGTTTACACAAATAAAAGTGTACACTTCTGTATATAGTTTGAGAGTATGTTTACATTTATGATTGTGTACAAATTCATTGTGTTTTCTTGTCGATAATTAGACAGATGAAACATACAACAAACTTGCAGTCAGGTTTGTCATAGTACAAAATTTCCACATCCAAAAAGAGGAACTTGCTAGGGACATATATGGCGACTTAAACAAACAAGTATGACACTTAAACAGAAAAAATAAGTGAAAAACAAATAAAAGTTATAAACCCAATGAAATACCCAACCACAATTTAACATATTGCAGCCGCTGCAACATCATTGAAACATTGGATACAATGTATCAATAAATATCACTTATTTCAACAGTATGAATAACAATGGAACAGGTAATTCATGATTGAGTCTGGTTCCTGAGGACGAAAATAAAGATAAGTAACTTTAGCAATAAATTGGCAGTTAAACAGGAATGATGAATAGATATTGCAGTAGTAAGCATTTTGATCATTTGTCTGCAGTCCTGCACAAACTCTCAAGGAGAAAATAACTATTTCAAACTTATATTTAAATTTTTTGAAAAATCAAAACCAATCATTTTAATTTTACAATGAAACAGAGCATGTTTTTTATAATTGACCTTGAGGTGAACAGACAGGAACAGTTGAGTGTCATTCTGTTGCCACAGAGTAATAGCAGGAGCATTCCAATCAAAGTCAATATAATTATTTATTTGAATGTGAACTTTCTTACCCCTAGTTTATAACCCAGGACATGATTTACCAGGTTCAGAATGAAACACGTCAGCACACATGTAAATATGAAACTGATGCAAGTTTAATACAGAAATAGTTATCTCCTGTACATAAAGAAATCGTTCCAGTAAACAGATATGTTGAAAAATGGATTTTCATCAAATAGTAAGAAAATAAGAAAAGAATGATTAAATTGAAAAAAAATGATATGGTTATGAAAACAACACCATGAAATATATAGAAAATCAAAACTTAAGTAACTCTGTCTATAATGAAACCTTTGACAACATAAAGTACTGAGCATCTGAGTAGTACTCCAGAAATATGTTAATTATACAGCACTTGTTGCCCTGTGATTACATGCAGTATATACCGTATTTCTATAAATAGTAACTCAGAGAGAATACAGCTGTACATACAAAACTGGATTTTTTATAAAATCTACAGTCAACTCATAAAACAGGATTATCTCTCTGTTCCAACTACATAAATTATAGGTATAACCTATTCAGGGGCTGATTAAATTCAATGTGTTTTTCATATCACTTAAGCATCCTTATAAACAGAATATGACAAAAATCACTTCAAACTTAAAAGAATTATGAAAAGTTATTTTTCTTGTGCACGTTATTGTTGAAAATATTTTAAACTGTTAACTACACCAATCTGATTGATTAAAACATGCGTAAAACATATCATAATGAATGTTTGAGGAAGACGTGATCAATTTACCTACACCAATCATCCCAAACAATGATAGGCAAAACAAATAGGATGATATTAATCTAATAACCAAACGCCCCAATCAAACAACGACACTGTCTTACTTTTCCAATAAAAATCTAAACTTGCATTCAGTTTATATCAGAAAAACTTTTAAAGAAAGTAATAAAACATCTATACAGTATTGGAAAAAGAATTTCTTTGTACACTAAATATACCGATAACAGTGATAAACAACTATAATCCACTTGCATACTGATATGTACCACAGGAGAGATAACAAGAATTTTAAACAAACATAAATTACAAACACAAAAAGTTTATAGCAGAATGAGATCTGATGGCAGAAAATTGATGGTCGTGCTTTCCTTAAAAATATTTTGAAGAAATGTTTCTGAAGTATTCATAAATAGCATAGATAAACAAATAAATGTTTAATGCTCAATGATCAAATTAGGATGGGATTTAAATTTCATCTAAAAATTCACAGATTGAAGCCATGCACCAAGTTTACATCTCCAAATGTAAGGGAGATAAGTCCAGAAAACTGCCATTTTTGCAAAATATTCTTATTACAAACGGCCATAACTCAACCAAAATTAGTTTGTTCTGTTGGGATTCAATCTTGATTTATAACTTCACAGTCTGGAGTCATACATAAGACATAACATCACGGTCTCCAAGCATAATGGAATAAAATCCCCAAAAATGTTTTGGGTAATATGAATGGATGAAGGAGGGAAGAACATTCCTCCCCAGCCCCCATTTCCTAGAAGGGGCATATAAAGATGTTTTTTGCAATGCCTGCTGAAGAATATTTTTTGTATGGCAATGTATATCACGATAACATTTTTAAAGGAAAAAACAAAGAAAAAATTGTATTTCTTAAAAAAGCCTTAAAAAGCTGAAAAAGAAAAAAAAATGTTGTTGATGGCACAAACTTTTTCAGATACCAATCAATACTAGATCATTCATTTACATCTGCACTAGGAGATACGATGTGCTGCGTCTCTACTGTCCTCTACATTACGTAAATTCTCCAAGGCATGAAGAATCCTCTCCTTGGCCTTGATACGACCTTCAGCCACTGTTGGATGTACACATTCATTAAGTAGATGTTCAAGGTCCCAATCATCTACTGCAAAGTTTGGCATGTCATGAAGCAGTCCATGAGGCATGCCAAGGTCTGCATCATTTGCATATTTTGATAAAAGGTTTCTGCACACTGCATAATAATTAAGATCAGAATCCATTCTAGAACACAAGTCTTCTGTTGAGAAAGTCAGACAATTTTTCCCATCACATTCGTCAAATCTGTTCTCATGTAGATCATTCCATAAAGGCTTCTTCACTGAGAAAATGAAATAAGTAAACAATTCATTAATATCACATGTATTTTTTGTAGCATTCAAGTACAATATATTTATAATGAAATGGTATTGAGCCATTAAGCAACATAAAAGTCCAGTTTTTTATTTTTATACATCAGACAATAATTAACTATAAACAAAATTCAGTGACAAAAAAACAATTACATCTTTGTATTGCAGTTCTGTCAACCACGATGATATTCTCAAGATCAATGAGAGTGACTTTCCCTGCACCATCCACAACCAGATTCTCGTAGTTAAGGTCAGTCATGTATAATGCGAAATCTTTTCCACTGTTGGTCAATCTGTCAGCTATCTTCATAATCTGGTACGCAAGATCTGCCTGTCAACAGAAAATATTAGATAATAAAATGGGGCAAAGCCACAGTTGGCCAGGTTGCGGGATGACAGTTAAGGGTGTTTCATTTGTTGAGTATGTAGAATATTTGTTATAAGAAAGAAAGTTTGGTTGTATTTGAAGAAAGAAGTTGTAGCCATTTTTGATTCTGAGATGTTCAAAAAATTGACAATGGACATCTACAAAGTTTCAAGCTTCTATGTCAAAAACTCTAGGAGGAGATGATTCTACAAAACTGGTACCTCTTTTCCCCGCCCGCCCGACATTCACCATACTATAACCTAGATTTGCACTATGTGCAACCCGGCCAAAAATGCACATATGGCTTGTATCATGCATAAAAAGTTTTTAGAAAATTAACATTTTTTTCGTGATTGAAGTACTTAAGAGTTTCAATATACTGCGTAAGGGTATATACCAAAATTATCAATACAGCCCATTTTTTAATTCATCCCAAAATACATACATTCACAAGCTTCTATTTTTGCCTTAATGGAATAAAGATAAAAAAGGTGAAAGTTTAATTGAAATTGAAGTTTCACCATATAGAGAGGATCTTTTATGAGAGTCATTGAAATATGCAATTTTTCAAACGAGTTCAATAATCTGATATTTGATATGTCACAAGCCTTTAGGCACAAGTGTAACATTCTAACAAACTATAGAACTTGTATTTCTGAAAGAACAAATCTCAAATCATTTTTCCCTATAACATCGAGACAGTCATATGACGTCACAACAGTGTTATCACATATGTGTCATACAATATTTAGTACATGGCCGTATGTTATGACATCACAGGCCGGTTATGTGACAGAAAGGTATTCAGCTCTATAGTAATATTCAGTTTTTTAAGATACATATGAAGATTCCTGTTTTGGGGGTGCTTTAAAACCTGTGAAACATTTAATTGCTTTCTAAGATCAATATATATATATTTGTTTCTTTTACTGTTAAACAGGGATATCTAATGTACCCTTTTTTGCCATGGAGCATTGTAGTAATTATACAATGGCTCTCCTTCATAACTGACGGCAATGAATCTTCCACACGCCCCAAAATATTCTGGAAACGGCCAACCTTCTGAGGAAGGGAATGTCTGAAATGAAATGTGAATCATAATTATATGTTGCATATAAAAGTATAGATATTTATCACGGTATATAAGGGTTAAGAATAATAACCAAAGCAATCACAACCTTTTCATTCAAAAAGCTGAAGTGTATGGTCAAGATACATGGGCACTTTTCAGTTAAATGTACATTGTACATGTATTTATGAACAAAATATATGGTACCTAAAAGATGCTTTACCAGAAAGACCACAGTATCCTATCATAGCATTTATAATTAAAGGTTCTGAGTTGTAATCGAATAAAACAATACACATTCCTGTTGATAGCCTCAAAAGGAAATTAATTCAGATTTCTGGTGTCATAATCATATAATCCATGGTTCTTCCAGCCAAGTCAATGAAGCAGGAGTCAGCTGAGTGACAAAAACCTGTATTTAAGCTCTATATGCCATGTAGACTACCTCTTCAAACACACCCCCAACCATCACTTGATATTTCTAAATACAAAAAACACAAAATGCCACAAGTGAGATATCAGGAATCCAACCTGGGTCCACAACTTCATAATACTACAACACTACTGAAAGTAAGCATGCAACATCAGAAGAAAGACAGACCACAATTAACACAACGTACAAGTCACAATGACAACCTCATTTCATAGCTATTTCAAGCCTTAGACCCAAATTTTTTTCAAAATGAAAGAGATTTTAAAATTCTAAACAAATCATGCACATAATATTTATATTCATACCTGAAGCATCAAAGGCTCGGGGTTAGTGATGGCTGTTACATACAGTTGTAACTTATCCCTTGTCATCACTTCTGGGTTGTCAGGTTTCAGCTTCTCCTTGTAATTTTCCATGACTTTGTCAATCAAGGTATAGGTGGGACAAGAAAACATGGATGCTGTTCCTTTCAGATGTTTCGGCAAAAGTCCCAAACGCCGAATCTCATCTCCAGTATTAGTACGCATTAAGACTCGGGCGACATCACAACCAACTGGACGTACAGCATCTTTACATAATTTTTCATCAATGTCATCAAGCTCTTTGTCATGAGCCAACTTTTTGAGAACAACAGTATGACCAAGGTGTGAATGTTCCGCAAAATGAACATTTTTTATATTTACAAAGTCAAGAAGTCGAACCTGTGACCAGCCCTTTAGTTTAATCTGGCTGTCTTTAAACGCCCAACAAAGACTATGTCCATAACAGGCTGGGCATTTATCTGTTTGGAGAAATTTGTCATCTGCTAAATGATTCTGAGTAAGGGACATGATCAGACTTCCATAGATATACAATGACAAACATAAGGTCGATAGTAGGAAACATTTTGTCCGCCACGACAATCTACGTATGGTTGCTGCAGCATCTGATACTACGACACGGACATTTCTCATTGGACGACTCTGGTTTGACCCACTACGTCGATTTCTAACGTGGTCTGGTATCATTATTTCAATGTAATTTTGTATTCAATGTTGACAGCATCTATCAAAAGAAAAAACAATTATAGTGTTAAAAACTACATTTTGGATTGATGTATTGTCATTAAGGTGGAGTAAGGCGAGTATGGTACCACTATTAACACTCGCTCAGATAAAACATTGCTGACATAATGTCTTGGAGTTCCAGTTTATCCACTTAAAAAGTGAGATGATGGTGAAAACCTGAACCTGCCAATTGCTATGTAGCCTATCAATTATTATTAAATTCATATCATACATTGAACTTTTCGGATGATGAGACCTGGAGTCCTGAACTAAAGCTTCCCCTTCAGTACTCACTCAGCTTTTGAGAACCCATATAACTTTATTTCTTTCATGACTAGAATCATCAAAATTTTGGTAATGATGCTCTGGACTTACCAGCACAAATCCTACAAAAATTACTCTTACTAATTGACATTAATTGTTATCTAAACACATCTTATTGATATTTCTAGAGTAAATATATATATATCCTTGGCGCATTAGTTTCGGACCCCTTAAGAATCATTTTTTGCTATGGTGACGAACTGCCACCAAACAAATACATGAATGACTTGAAATGTGGACATAATATAACATTTATTTATAGACTGATTGGTGAAATACTGGTATTTTTAATAAAAAAAAAAAGTATCTGCAGATATGACATCAAATTCTGAAATGATCGACATGTGTATCAGACATGTGACTATACTTCTGTTTCTGATGACATCACTAAATCAAAGACACACTTCAGTTAGCTTAGTGTGACCAAGAAGTACACATGCATTACATAAAACCATTATTTGAACAGGAATCATTCTGAAGAAAATCAAAATCAAAACAAAGTTATGGTGCAAAAGTGGTGGATATCTGTATTTATATGTCCACTTTTTCTAGTTTTTATTATTTGATATTTTTTCCCCAAAAATGAGCTATATTTCTAGGTTAACTTTTTTTATATAACACTTACTATTTAAATAAAGTTGATTATTCATGTCTCGGTCTACAACTTGCTATTTACATAAAATTGAAAATGAGGCATCAAAAGTGATAATTTATAAATTATCTTTTTTTCAATTCAAGATGAGCAGGTTTGGACTTTCGTAGCCAAAAAAATGCAAGAAGGTATGGCCTTTTATTCCTGTTCATTTTTTATTCACACGACAGACAACAAAATATTTGCATTCAAGGATGAATTGATAGGTTATTTCATCATATCTAGGAGACTGTTGGACAAGAAAAAAAAACACAAATTTGTCAACGAAATATATGCTCATGACATTTTAGAGTGCATAGTTCAAATCACAATTGTTTGAGTCTTTCTGAAAGCGTGACATGTCCCGGCAACCAAAATGATCAGGTTGCATGGTCACGATGGTCAATCGTTAATGTGATACAGCTGAACAAAATGACTGTTCCAAAATATGTAACGGTCCGGAACCGATATCAAGACGATACAGTGTCACATTGGCTATTGGGTCAAGTTAAAAAGATGATGTCCTGTTGCAAATGATCCCGCTTATGACTAACTGCATACTCAAATTACCCATGTGGGTTACACCGTTGTAGTTACTTAATTTAATTTAAAAAAAAAACCATATCCTTTTGTATATCCTTTAGTCCGACCAACAGGATAACGAGACAAACAATGACCGTACACATGTCTCCCGTGGTAGACTAGTCAGCTGCAAGTGTTGTCAACTGTGCTGAGGCGGTCTACATTCATAAAATTGTAGTACGTTCTGTCATAACAACTGTAAAACTATCTGTGATAACAGTAACGGTATTCGTCTTTCATCTGGGAGTGATCGATCTTACCTGATTCCAATCCTCATTCACAAACTAACAAAAGGAATGTCATGTACTGTTAAATTAACAGAAACACATAAAACTAACGACAGAAGTTGTACTTTCGTACAGTTCCGCGTCGATCAACGTCGATGATGTGCTTGATACCCAAATACTATCCAATTCTATAACACAAACGCAGGTCCGACCAACTTAGGGAGTCTTGTAATAAACCAATGCATTAATTTTATTTCCGGATTTATGCGTCGGTCAACTGCGTTTAATGGCAATGAAATATATTGTTTGATCATGTATCAAAACGTTTTGTTTCTAGATCTCCTACAAAACCAATAGTTTATGGTTCAATAATTTATTTTTAACCAGCGTTATGTTTTAAACAAGAAAATACAAACATGGCAGTTTAATCACTATCCTAACTCAAATTCAATAAAGATTTGGGAAAGTATGAACAAAAGAAAGGTCTACAAGGAGATACCGAAAAAACGCAAGGAGAATAAGACCAGGTGTTCCGCTTCATCGACGACACCCGCCATGTAAATCTTGGTCAATCCAAGTAATTAATGCCACGTTCTAAAATACAAGGTATACAACAAGGGAACCAATCTTGCCAGCATAAAACAAATCCAGCTTCATATCGTTCCAATCAACTATTTTTCAATGAGATCATTATTACGACGGTAATTAATTGTCATTAATCTGCATCTTTTGAAACCTTATTGGTTACGTGTTTGACGACTTCTTGCACGACAATCGTGATAACGGGAGCACGCCCTTTACACACAAGCTTTTTTAATTATGATTTTACAAACAATAAAATCACCTCCATTGCTAGTTTGGTTTCAGAAAAGGACACAGGTAGATTTACGTATCTATAACATGAGCACTTCATGCTAAATAATTACATACAAAGTAGGTACTGAATTCCGCAGTGAAGACACATGAAAAGATGGTTTAAATGTACGACTGAAAAAAAGAGGTCTGAATATGATTTTAGGTATTCAACAATTTTTTTAATTTCGGGGATGAAAATTTTGTATTTGTATAGATACTGTTTGCCATACTTTATGATAAATCGAATTCCTAATAGTTTTGGTTCTTTTAAAGTGAATATTGAATTTATATGTATAAGGGAATGTGTATTACAGTAGATATGAAATTGAATATGCCATGTTGACCGAAACACAAAAAATGCAACCGAACACATAAGAAAGACAAAAACGTTCAATACTGACCGCTAACAGCCATATTTATATAACAGAATGACAATTTACAAGTTACCTATCGTATCAAAGAAAAGGAAAAAAACACTGAAATATTTCATCCTTAACCGCTTAATATACCTTTATTGGTCTTGTAAAGACTATCTGGAATGACAATGTGTAAAACATGGCATATTTGTAACATATGTAATTATTTGTTTCAATGCCTCTGCCAATATTCGAACTCGTGACTCGTATTGTGCTCATTCTGGCCGAGACGTACATCTTCCATACTCTTCCTCGTGTTTCAGGGTTACAGCGATGTTTGTGAAAGCAACACCAATGATTATCCTCAAGTCTCTACAAGGATGCTAGTGTAACATAGGTTAATATTTACTGTATTTCAATGCCTCCGTCAGGATTTGAACCCGATATTGGTTACTAGTCTAACACTCAAACGATTGAGCTAAAGACACGACTTGTCCTCGAGTTTCCAGTGGTTACAGCGATGTTTGAGTCCCTACATGGACGCTAATGGAACAAAGGTCGCTTATTTATTTCGGCGACAAGAAACCACGTCACTTTTAGCTTTCTTCACTCTCGCCAAAATGCTGCTTATATTTTAAGACACTGATCGTGTAATCTCTATAAATGTAGCTTTGATAAAATTATATATATATGTAAATAAATATATGGTATCAGCTATCAGATTGCTGTATTGATAGACTGAACAAAGGGAAATAACTCTGCCAGGCCAGAATGGTATTCCCAGGGCTGTACAGGTTTCTGAAGATCTTAGCAGTTAGACAACTTTTGTGACAGCCGTATTTACTGAAGATCTTAGCAGTTAGACAACTTTTGTGACAGCCGTATTTACTGAAGATCTTAGCAGTTAGACAACTTTTGTGACAGCCGTATTTACTGAAGATCTTAGCAGTTAGACAACTTTTGTGACAGCCGTATTTACTGAAGATCTTAGCAGTTAGACAACTTTTGTGACAGCCGTATTTACTGAAGATCTTAGCAGTTAGACACTTTTGTGACAGCCGTATTTACTGAAGATCTTAGCAGTTAGACAACTTTTGTGACAGCCGTATTTACTGAAGATCTTAGCAGTTAGACAACTTTTGTGACAGCCGTATTTACTGAAGATCTTAGCAGTTAGACAACTTTTGTGACAGCCGTATTTACTGAAGATCTTAGCAGTTAGACAACTTTTGTGACAGCCGTATTTACTGAAGATCTTAGCAGTTAGACAACTTTTGTGACAGCCGTATTTAAAGCTCACAAGACAGTAACTGGTTCCATTATATGACCTTAACCGAAGCCAGGACTCCCAAGCCTACAAATAATACAGTATTCCGTATTTATTACTACGACTCCCCCAGAAATATCAGCCTCTGTTAGGCCAGCCTGTATTATATATAAATATCCTTCATTATCTCGATTACATCTCTGAAATTATTTCATAGTCTTTAACACCATTATTTACAATAACTTACAGTGAAGACGGACAAAAGACACACAAGTGCATAGCACCTTTAGATTAAAAGATTTCAAACAGTAAAGTGTTCGTTGACTTTAATACTACTTGTACCAAGAGTTTAAAATATGTCCGACTGTCGGAAATCGATGTCTGTTTTTTTTTCTATTAAAAGACAGTGTGGTTTTGCAGTTTTGGAATGCAGTATGCTGTCATATGTTTACATGCAAAAGAATCATGCATCAGTATTTTCCGGAAACTCAGATAAAAAAAAAACGCGATCAAAATGGCACGGTAATGATATAGTTACTAAATATATCATAAAGCATGTCTGTAATTATTGATATTCAACTTGTATGTATGGAATTACAAAGATTACTGGCAAGAAAATGAATCCACCATGAAACAAGCATTATCTATTATTTGCTGTTATCACTCCATAACAAAAAACAACATCATTTTGTAACGTCACGTTTGATTGGCCCATGCGGTAGCGTAAGAAATTAGTAAGACATTGAAAAGGGATCTATTATACATGTGAGCAATATTGTAATATATTATTAAGTTATAACGATGAAATTGAATAATCATTCTTATGTAATCGAGCTGAAAAAAGACACATAGTACAAAAAATAACGACTATGTTCACCACAAAAAAAAAAAAAAAAACATTTAACCGATTTATTCCGGAAATAAAACGACCAGTAAATAGCATTATTATCAAACGTCATTTCCTGTCTGCTGTAGATTAGCACAGATACTTCAATAGACTGGCGAATAAAACGTCACGAATTCTGATAAAAAATCATAAAATATTAGTATATATGCCATAAACAGGCTCGAAATATGAACTAGTAACGAGAGCAACGATATACCATTAGAAATAGTGATAACAAACAGAGGACTGTAATATCCGACTTTTGCAATCATAACCGGATTTTAATTTGGGTAGATATGATCTATTGTTCATGCAATGATACTAAAATTTACAAACAAAAAAGTGTGTTTTGTTAAGAGATATCATTCTTAGATGCTGTTAAAAGAACTATCGAAATTAGTTTTGTAATGCGATAGTTTTACGTGCTGTTATTGATATTGTGTTGATATGGATCAGGTATATTAATTTAAATGATTCTATAAAGCTGGATCCATAACCGATGATAAACAGACAGTCTATCAGAATACGGTGTGCTTCATCAAAGCTTTTCTTCATTTTCATTTATTATGGTATGATAATTGTATGAACATCGACTGCTGAGGCTTCACTGCTACTTAAGCCAAAGTGACAAGACTTTTAGTGTCTAAACATTTTCATAGTGTATGCATTCATTCGGAAATTGCTGCTTTATTTGTACTTATTAGTCAAAATGTGTAGATGGTATATTCTGGTCGTGTTGCCATGGCTTCCGATTGCATCAGGATCTTTATGTCCTGATGGCTGCAGTGGAGTTTTACACAAAGACACGTGTTTCCAGAATGCAAACAATAAGTCATATTGCTTGTGTTCAACTGATAATATTTGCAGAAGTTTTTCAGAGTGTGGACATTTGACAGATGACGCCAGAGGTTCTTTATATAATGACACTTCCTCTGAAAGCAACCTCATATTCTCTAACATGTCATCGATCTGCTTTATCGAGGATTCTTGTCCTGTCGACTTCACGGATAACAACATCCGGGTTCTATGTGAAGCCATGCTCGAAGGATTAGTTCATTATGACTTGTTTCCAGTCCAGGTTAAAGAAAATGGATTTCCAAACTTGAACTTCAAGAATAAATATTGTGCCATATGCAATGGTAAATTCAACTATACCTTTTGGAATATAGGTGTTGATCTAGATACATGTGATTTATTTAGCTTGGAAACATATGTAATGTCCACGGATGAAGACAACCTGTTGACGACCTTGTCTCGGACACATGGTTGCCATGTTTTCCCAATCGAACTTGACCCAGTCTGTGCTGTCTGTGAATATCTTGATAGCGTGGTTTTTTTTGAAGGATTGCCTGTTTTGTCAGCCCTTTTTAACTTCAGTCCAGTCAAGGAGGTGAAAGCAGACGACAAGTCGACAAAATTAGGCTGTGGCAATAAGGTATCCAAAGTTAATACCAGGTTAAATTGACAAAGGGCAAATTTAAATGTGAATATCCCAGAACCCGCCTCGTCTCCGTTTATAAAAGCACTTCTTTAATTTCCGTAAATGTATAGCCTTGTAGAAGACATCAAAATTTGATAAGTTAATTTTGTCACTTAGTATTGGTGTATTTTAAAAGATATCATCAATTTCGGGTTTGAATCAATATTTTAACATGTCGGTGTTTTGTAGTTTTGCTTATGTGACTGATTTGGTCCCGTTTTGATCATACAAGAAATATCAATTATATAGTTTTGTGTTAAAACTTACATCCATTGTTTA